TCGAAATCACGTGACCCAAAAATAAGCAGCAGACCTGAAAGATAGAAGTAGTAAATATTAGTACAAAAAAAAAAAAAGCACAGTATTGAAAAATATTGTCAAAGAAAAAGATACTTATTCAAAGTTAAAATAACCGGAATTCGCAGAACTTAGGCCCCAAAACAAAAATCCAACCTTAAAACCAATACGGCCCAGGTAGTTGGTGTCCTGGCAAAACTAAATTAAATAAGAACACTATTAGCAAAGTTCAAAAAAAAAAATTTTTTTTAGACAACGTGGCTAGAAAATAAACAACCCATGATACTTATCTAGGAACCACCAAACAAGCGCAAACAAATTCAGCATTATAGGGCCAATTTCCAAGAGTTGGAACCGAAAATACAAAAGAATCATATGAGCTTATCAAAGCAACTGATAAAAAAAAAAAAAAAAAGAGAGATAGATCAGCAACAATATACGACCTTGAAGAATTTTATTCTTTACAGACAGTACCTACTCAATTACAGTAAAGATCAACACTGAAGATTAGAATCCCAAAGAAAATTCTTTGTCATAAGGAAAGGATTTCTCTATAAGAAAAATTGAAAACAAGAAAATAGACTATTAAAAGTATTAAGGAAAGGCGAAATTGACTCAATACTAGCCTTGGTTTACAATTATCTAACAGAAGGACATTTTGAAACCGAAAAAATGTTCAATAAGCTGCGCAGCTGTTACTATTGGCCTCAGATGTATAACGATATAAGAGGATATGTTAAAACATATGAAAATTGTCAAAAATAAAGTGATCGCAAATCAAAAGAATTGTTGCATCCAATACCTGCCATAGCCCCATTCCATAAAATAGGAATCGATATAGTTAGTCCTCTTCCAGTAACCCCGCGATTAAATAAGTATATAATTGTAGCAACCAATTATATGACTAAATGGCCTGAGACTCACACGGTTCCTAGAGATGATTCTGAAGAGGTGGCTAAATTTATCTATGAAGATATAGTATGAAGACACAGATGTCCAAATATCATACTATCAGATCGTGAATCACATTTCCAAAATTGTGTAATAGATGAATTGCTTGCGGCTTTGTCAATCAAATACTAGTACTCAACCCCATATCATCTACAAACCAATGGGTTGATAAAACACTTCAATAAGACTCTATACAATGCCATCGCATGATTAATAGTAAATGTAACAGAATGGGATTTACTAATCTCACTAATTTTATTTGTGTATCGAATGGCAAAACAAGCCTCTACCCAAGAAATGCTGTTTTACTTGATGTATGGTAGAAATGCCTAATTACCTGTACATCCTAGTTCGTCCAATGAATTATTGGATGGATCAATCATTCAAAGGATCTACGAGATCGACTATGATCATCCAGAAGTGTATGAAATGGCACTACGCCAGCTCCAAACAACCCAGCAGAAACAAAAAGAATGTCATGATTGATACGTTAAAGCCACACCTGATTTCTCAATAGGAGACAAGATATTAGTCTATAATTTCCGAATAATGAGCATGTGAAGTCGTAAATTTTAACCAAAATAAAAGGGCCCATATTACATACATACTATCCTAACGAATAGCGCATACAAATTACGGAAATTGAATGGAAGAGTACTTGAATTATCTATTAATAAAAAGCAACTAAAATTGTACCATGAACAAGGAATATAAAAAGCAACCTCAAGACTTGCAAACAAAATAGCCAAAAAAATCAAAAATTTTAAGGCTATTATGACCAACTACGAAAAGCTCATTCAAGAAGATCTTTTGTGTCTATAAACCCACCTTATATGGTACCAGAAGCCTGCTCTTATCATGAAGACCAGGACCCTAGTACTCAAATACTTCTCACCTTTAATAAATGATCAAAGCTAAAAAAACTGGCGACCAGATTGGAAGCGTCATCCACGCTTATTATCTTGGTGCAAGGATCTATACGTTAACCCTGCTGAAAAATCGATGGCAAGTGGACTACTAACTGAGTACTATATCAAAGCAGCCAACCGTATTTATTATTTGTTCGAACTATATGGCGTGGAACAAATTTATCATACTAAACATATTTCGGTTCCTATGGTCACACAACTTAAACTTTCCGAACTCAATCGTCTAATTAATATTTTGCCCATGGAATGTGCCCTTGTTGGTGAGGGAGAGTTGTAAAAAGGAAAAATAGCATTTGTCAATCGCTGCAGTTTTGAGAATTTTTTAGTAACACAAGTTCCAGAAATCCCTGGAATCACAAAAATCCTTATGATCTCCATGATTCTAGAGATCCTCGATATCTCAGTTATCAGCGATATAACGGTTATATCTCAGATAGCGAGAATAACCAAGATAATAGAGATATTAGAAATAACGAAGATAACAAAGATATTAGATATATTCGTTATATTAGATATTAGTGTTATATTAGATATCTCGTTATATGTAAAAATTATGTATATAAGCAGTGTGAAATTACCTTGAATAAAATTAACTTAGTGAGTTTGATAAAAGTATTTTCCACATAACGATAACCCTTAGTCCCTAAAGCCTTCGAAATTAGAGTAGAAGCGCTTGTCTGTAAATTGTAGTACCCTTTTTGTTAAAAATCATTTGACGATTTCATGTTCTTATCGTATTTAGTAAGAGAAAGACATTGTAGTGTATTAGTAATTCAACCCTTATATATTTTAAGTAAAACTAATTAAATCGGTGATCAATGTGATTTTACTTAAACCGTGACCCTGTAATACCGTGACCTTGTACCACATTTCTGATTGGCCAATTTCGATCACGGGACCTCGCCGCAGTACTCACGAAAAGAAGAATCTAAAGTATTAACGAAAGTGTTAGGAGGGGTAGAATCATTATTAAAGAAAGATCAAAGCACACTTATCTAAGCTCAACATTATCACTACCAACCTAAATAACCCTGGTTACTCGGACCAAGTCTTTCCATGCCTCAATCGTTGCCTTACCAATATTAGGGTTAGGTGAAGTAGTTATAGTGTTCTGGTCAAAGTTGTGTAATTAGTATTGATATTTTGGAGTAGTGAGTTATTATATATCGGCCCAGTAACTATTCAGACGCAGCCCAGAATTATTTACCTTTTTGCATTTGGTGGTGACTGTGAGATTGGACTTCCCTAAACCAAATCGTAATATATATTACAAAACAAAAACAACCAAATCGCTTATTTAACCCGTAAAACTAAGATTGTTAGTTAAAACGAACAACCTTCATAGAAATGAAAGACCTATACTATAACCCGTGGGAAAATACTTATAGCCCCATTACGGAAACTGCAGATATGGAACCCTTAGTTAAAAAGAAGGTTGAAGAAGTTGAGGTGTTTGTGGTTGGCCTATTGGAAGATTTAGATGAGAAGGAGCACGATAATCCTGATAATGAAAACCCGCCGCACGAAGAAAAATTCCAACCAAATACCGTACCTGAATATCATCAAAAAACAGCTGAAATTGGTCGTAATAATGGAAAATCGAGTATGGGCCATATGGATGAACAAAATAGTCTTGACGATCGTGAGGAATTCGGCGGCTCCCAAAAACCTGCTGTTGTAGGTTGTGTTGATGAAAAAACCGACCTTGAACCTTGCTATCAAAACGGGATTGGAATTGAAAAAGAGGAGCCTGAATGGTACCC